GTTCACTACCCAGATGATAATCAATGTAGGAGTTGACCAAAGTTTGAGACTACAACCTCTGTAAATGCAAAGAAGCATTACTAGACACTGGGCAATGGAATCTTTAATAACATTTCTCGAGATGAATATTTTTATAGTTTTCCTTGATCTACCCTTTTAGGTTTCCAACTTCCAATTTTGTTTCCTAGGAAAAGATAGTATTTAGTGGCCACTACCCAGAACCACTGGGTCTTAAAAACTGGTGGAAATCTGCATTAATATTTACATACTCACAGAAATTTTTATGTCCATGGTAAACTCTCAACAGCTTAATTCTAGACTGTATGATCCTAAATTAAATACCCTCAGTGTTAGGATTTGAAATCAGTGCTCTGAGAGATACCAATCCTCTTGTCTTTAGGAGAACCAGATGGACTCAATTTGGAGCAGCTAGAGTCACCAGGAGCCATGGATTTACTGAAACATGACAAGGAGGGGCAGCAACAGCAGGAGCAGGAGTTGAGTGCACTGTTGCTCATCACAAACAAGGGAGCTCTGGGCTTGCTGGAGCAGGTGGTATCCCAGAGACACAGGGCTGTTAGACATGGGGTGGGGGTGGGGGGCTGGAAATTAGTGGGGGAGGGCTCCTTGCAGGTTCAGCTCCAAGAGCCCAGATCTTTGCTTTACATTTGCTGGGAACTTGTGACCTGTCGAGGAAGTGCTTCTTGGTGGAGTCTAGGTTATGAGCAGCTCCCCCAGCTGGTGGTCAAATAATTCATGTACATTATGGTTAAACTACTTAGAAATATTTGAAGTAAAAGGGGTTAGCAGTCTATTTACATTATTGTAAATTTTGTGTTTCATTTTGTCAATGAAAGGAAAAGTTGGATTCTTTATACTTAAATTCAATTTTAAATTAAATTATTTTTAAAGGTTCAATTCCCATAAAGTATGCAATATCAACATTTCAAAAATTTATAATTTTGGAAAGCATCATGCAAATTAAAAATTTTCTCTGAAATCTGTACATTTGCTGAGTGTGGTGATGCATATCTATAATCTCAGAGGCTGAGGAAGCTGAGGCAGGAAGATCACAAATTCAAAGCTAGCCTCACCAACTTAGTGAGGCCCTAAGTAACTTAGCAAGATCTGTCTCAAAACAAAAAATAAGGAATGGGGATGTGGCTCAATGGTTAAATACTACTGGGTTCAATCCCTGTAACAACAACTAAAAGTACATTTTTTTTCTTACCAAAATTACATAAAGCATACATATAGTAGGGCACAGTGGCCCACATCTGTAATCTCAATGACTTGAGAGGAGGAGGATCACAAGTTTGAGGATTGCCTTAGCAACTTAGTGAGACCCTATCTAAAATAAAAAGGGCTGGATGAGGTTTAGTGGTACAGCACCCTTGGGTTCAATTCCACTACTGTGAAAAAACAAAGTATATATGTGTATGTATATGTATATAGAAACAAAAGTATATGTGTGTATATGTAAAAGTATATGTATGTGTGCATGTATGTATATGAATATACAAAGTACATAAAAGATGGTTCCTAGAAATGGGAATGCAGCTCAGTGGTGGAATACCTGTCTAGCGCTCAAGGACCTGGGTTAAATTCCCAGCAATGCAAAACCTAGCAAATAAGTAAGTAAATAAACACAGATGGTTCCCAATGGAGAGGCAGCACATGATTCAGTGTATGGCTCACGGAGAAAGTTTGCTTTTTCACTATTTTGCAAATTTATCCTACTTTCCCATAAAATCCAATCTTCCTAAAGTGCTTGTTTGTGGCTATTGTTATAGTCTTTGTGGCCTTACAGGGCTGCCTGGAAAATTATGGGCCAGTGTTTCGGAGTTAACTTTCAAAAGGCTGGATCAAATCCAGTTTTTTTCCTCTATCTGCAACTTGTAAGAGCATCTCAAGTTTACTATCAAGATTTTGTGGGCTGGGGATTTGGCTCAAGCGGTAGCGTGCTCGCCTGGCATGCGTTCGGCCGGGGTTCGATCCTCAGCACCACATACAAACAAAGATGTTGTGTCTGCCAAAAACTAAAAAATAAATATTAAAAAATTCTCTCTCTCACTCTCTCTTTAAAAAAAAAAAAGATTTTGTGATGCCATTTAATTAATATTTTGTAAAAGAAAATATTTTGTAAAACAAAGTGTTCTCACATTTAAACCTATAAACCCTAGATTATAAAATAACACACATACCCCAAACAATTCTATATTGTTTCATAGTATATTTTAAAAATGACAGTAACAAATGCTTTCCCCTTGTTGGGGAATGACAAATGTCATTTTCAATGAATAGAACCTTAAAAAGTAACAGCATCTTGTCCAAACTGAACTTATATAATTGCACAGAAGTCATACAAAGCATTAATACTAACAAAGACGGTATACCCAAGAGGCCTTGTGTCCAGTAGGGACTATGACCTGAACAGCAGAGATGATACTCCAAGTTCCTCAGTGACACATAGGAAGAGACAAGATCAACCAGACCGGTGTGGTTTGACTATGGAATTCTGCCACAATGTTAGAATGCGATGACCTTCACCTTTTTATGACTCCTAGAACATGAAAAATGCTTCAGCTTAAAAGTAAGTTTTGGGGCTTAAAACTTACCTTTCCTGCTTAAGATTTGGGTTATGGATCCAGATTGAGGAAACTAAAATTTAAAAAAAAGTTAACCAGGGCCAGGGTTGTAGCTCAGTGGTAGAGCACTTGCCAAGCATGCGTGAGGCACTGGGTTCGATCCTGGCACCATATAAACAAAATAAAGGTACTGTGTCCATCTACAACTAAAAAAGTATTAAAAAAATAAAAACACCTTCCATATGGGGTCCTTTATGGTGCCACCATCTTAGGCCCTCATTCAATTTCTAACACACAAATAAGTAACACTGTCTAGCTGAAGGATGGCAGATGAGTTCCAACTTGAATTCCAACACTTTTATGGGTAGGTTATCGAAACATTGTTACACAGGACCCTGAGATCACTAGATCGATAGACTGGTGGGAGGGTTCTCTGTGTGTCACTGTGATCTGAGGGGCACAGGTGAGGGGAGAGGCAGCACCTGTGTTTCATAGCTACAGTCTCCTTATTAATAACAAAGCTGAAGAGGGTGTGCATTATAAATATCTGGAAATACAGAGCAGCTAAATTTGTTTTAATGAGATACACTGTCCTAGGTTCTATCCTCAGCACTGCAAAGAAAAGAAAGAAAGAAAGAAAGAAAAACAAGAGAGAAAAAAAGGAGAGAAAGAGAAAAGACTATGAATGTTCTAGAAAGGGTGTATACATTTTAAGCCACCATCAAAGGCACACCTTCTGAATTTGGAGACTGTGACTAGGAGAAGTGCTTTTTTTTTTTTGGTACTGGGGATTGAACCCAGAGGCACTTAACCCCTGAGCCACATCCCAGATCTTTTTATTTTTATTTTGTGATAGGGTCTTGCTAAGTTACGGAAGCTGGTCTTGAACTTGTAATCTTCCTGTCTCAGCCTCGCAAATTTCTGAGATTTTAGATATGTCAACTACGCCAGCTTTATATACATTTTTTGAGACAGGGTCTAGTTAAATTGCTGGGGCTGGTCTCCAGCTTGTGATATTCCTGCCTCAGCCTCTCAAATTACTGGGATTACAGGCATGCTTCATCATGTCAAGGTAAGAAGTGAATTTGTAATTTGAGTATTCCTACTGTTGTGTCTCTAATTTAAAAAACTAAAAACAAGAAAACTTAGCCCCACCCTCCACTTCTAGTTTCCTGAGAAGAGCAATTTCTGAAATAAATTCATAAAAGCATGTGACACTGCCTATCCAGATATGCTTCTTTCATTTAGATGGTATAATTGATGATACAACCACATTTCTAAATGCAGTGGAAAAATTCCAATGACAATATCTGGAGAAGGTTTTTTTCTTTTCATTTTTAAATTTTAAATAAAAGTTCTCAGTAGGAAAGCCTGGTAGTATATGTGAAATATTTGATTATTATACTTTTGACTGGAGAAAATATGGGGTATGTCTGCGGCATGGCTAAGAATGAATAAGATCTCTGCACTGTGAAAAATTACCTGTTCAACAAATCCTAATATATATTAGACAGCTATGAGATCTTCATTATGTTCTAATAGTCTGACTCAAACGCTTAGCTACTATGGTTAATCTGGTTAATTCAAAGGACAATGTATGGTGGCGCAGGGACTATAGACTCCAGTACTTCTGTAGAACTTTTCTGCCTGATGTCCAGGTGAAGACCACAGAAAATGAGTTACGGGATGAAAAGGAAATTCTGTATTCCAGGACTTAAAAAGAATAAAGGAGGGTTGGGGCTGTAGCTCAGTGGCAGAGTGCTTGCATACGTGAGGTACTGGGTTCGATCCTCAACACCACATAAAAATAAACAAATAAAATAAAGGCATTCTGTCCATCTGCAACTACAAAAAAAAAAAAAAAAAAAAAGAATAAAGTACAAAGGCTAGGTGAATGAAAAGCCAGAGTGGTGGGTTTATGCCCCTCCCTTTCTGTTAGAAAGCAGCACAGACTGAGAATTGGAAGAAGGTGGGAGGGCAGGAATGGGGATATAGCCTCCATTGGTGCAGCCTCCATTCCCACAGCCACTTAGCTAACATTAGCAGAACCAGGCACTTGTGGATAAGTACTATCTGTCAGAATGTGATCTCTATCACTTTTGTTGTAACATTATCTTTGTCTCTTGTCTGTTTTTGGCTCAGTACGTACTATGGGCAAACTTCTAGCACTAGATTACTAATCCCTTAGCCTTGAGCTTCCTTAACACAAATATGAAAAAAAGAAAACCACAAACCCTTGAACCATTATGTTTTGTACATTGGGTTTAAAGGAGGTGAATGCACTGATCCTTAGAAATTCCCTCAAACAGAAGCTTCTGAATAAACCATCTTTAGTAATTTAGTTCTTTCTGTTCATTATACAGACTGAGTTGTTGTAATGATTTTTTATATATATATATATATATATATATATATATATATATATATATATATACATATTAATTAATCAGAGCTAGAGGAAATCACAGAATAGGAGGGTTATTTCTCTGAAAACTGAACACCATTATTTTGATTTTAACAGGGTAAGTGGGGGATCTGCTTTTGGCCAGTGCAGTAATTTCAAGAGTAACTTATGAGGTCAGTGCATTACCTGGTGTGGTGGCCAGGTATGGTAGGACTTAAATGTAATCCCAGGTAGGCAAAGGCTGGACCAGGAGGATTACAAGTTCTAAGCCAGCCTGGGTAACTGAGTAAGATCCTGTCTCAAAATTAAAAAGATGTGGGGATACAGCTCAGTGGTAGGTAGAGTGCTTGCCTAGTATATGTGAGGCGCTAGGTTCTAGTACTGGGAGGAGAGGTGGGAAGAAAAAGAAAAAACAAAGTAAATAAACTGTGAAGGAGCCAGGTACAGTGGCATGCCAGCAACTCTGGAGGCTGAGATGGGAGGATCACTTAAGCCCTAAAGTTTAAGACCAGCCTAGGTAAACAACTTATCTCAAAAACAATAACAATAACAACAACAACAAAAAAAAACTTATAAAGGAATCAGGGATGCCTGGGAAAGGAATCATCTTTAAATTGAAGAGAAGAAATAGTTGGAGGTCTGGATCTGTAAGAGACACACATTCTTTTCTTTCTGTTCGGTTTTCTTCCTTATGAAAAATCTAAACACTTTCTAGGGCTCAGGCAATCAAATAGCAAGAAAGATTCAAAACTATTTTGTTCAATAGCTCATGTTGCTGAATCTGGACTGTGGCTGAATGGAAAGGATGCCAGTGCCCCTGCAAATTCATGTGGCTCCAGTACATAAGCAGAATATGGAATATGGAGGCAGGAGTTATGAAAGGTATGTGCTGGCCATCCAAAGTCACTGACATGTAGCTCTCAGCACAGGCAGAGACCCTGGTGATTAGCTCAAAATACAGGCATCATACATCTTATGACATCAGTGAAAGTAAAGAAAAGAAAGGACCTAGAGAGAAGAGAATTTTCCCTATGTTTAAATGTGTTAATTGGAATGAAATGACTTATATAACCATATTTTATGTTTAAAAATTAAACTTGTTTGGATCATTAATTCTACAGAATTAATGTTACTAAAGTCACAGTAAGAAATCATTCCAAAATTCACTTTTCCATTTTTCCATCTACTTAGAAAAGCTCATGTAATGATTACACACATCATATATAGCTGCTGCACTCCCAAATAAAACATGTGCATAAATATGCATGGAGACTCAGAATGCACACATGCAGGGATACCTGCACGCCTGTTTTGAACCTGAGATGCATCTGAGTTGCAATGGGGGTCATGAGGTTCTGCTGCAGATCTGCTCAATGTCATTTATCTCTTTGGGACAATCTGCAGAAAGGATGAGAGGGGAGTCCCGAGTCACCACTATATCATCCTCGATTCGCACACCAAGACCTCGAAACTTCTCTGGAGCATCTCTGTCATCCTCTGGAATATAAATGCCTGAGAAGTAGAGAGAAGAGTGCATTGTTCAGCATGGCAGTAACTGGGTGATTCTGGGCAAGTTAATATGAGTTATAATTCTTTATCTGTGTCTGTATCTTAAGCCTAATAGAGTTATGAGGATTTTTTTTTTAAATATTTATTTTTTAGTTTTCGGCAGATACAACATCTTTGTTTTGTATGTGGTGCTGAGGATCGAACCCGGGCCGCACGCATGCCAGGCGAGCGCGCTACCGCTTGAGCCACATCCCCAGCCCGAGTTATCAGGATTAAATGAGACAACACATTTAACAGCGCCTGGCACATAATGATCAATAATATGGGATATATCATTACTAGAATTATTATCATTACAATCATCTTGTGTATTAGTCTACAGGCTTTACATGACAATGTTGATCATGATTCCCTCATAGTCTACTGGCTCACATAGGACACTAAAGTTAGTTACTTAACTTATGAATATGTCTATGCATGCTGGGAACTAGCAGATTATATATGTACACTCCCTTTGCCTAATGCTCCTCTGGAAAAGGGCATGTGGCTAAAATAAAGATAAAATATATATTAAATGTGTTTAAATTGCATTTAAATATTTATTTAGTGATTATTAGCCTTAACAAGCAGAAACTGTTGAATAGTCATTAAAGTTTTTTTCCCCACCAGGCACAGTGGTGCACGCCTGTAATCCCAGTGGCTCATGAGGCTGAGGGAGGAGGATTTTGAATTCAAGGTCAGCTGCAGCAATTTATCGAGGCCCTAAGCAACTCAGCAAGATGGTGTCTCTAAATAAAATATAAAAAAGGGCTGGAGTTGTGGCTTAGTGGTTAAACGCCCCTGGGTTCAATCCCTGGTACAAAAAATAAAAAAATAAAAAGAGGATTCAAAAAATCTAAGGAAGAATCCATGTGCACCCATTTACTAACAAGATTAGACTAATTAGACTAAAGAGCATCTAAGACCAGAACAACAAACGACTGGGTTCAAAGGGTTGTATGAAATACATTTCCAAGCAATAATTTCTATAATTTAGAGGTTAAAACATTAATCTAAAGTTATGATCTTCTTTTCACCATGAAAACAGTGTCTGTTTTTACAAATTAACTCTTGGGGGTCTAGGTATGGAGCTCAGTAATATAGTGTTTACTTAGCATGCATGAGGCCCTAGATTTGATCCCCAGCACTATTATTTACTTAAAATAAATAATTAACTAATTAATTTAAAAAATAAAAAAATTAACTCTTGGAACATTAATCTTCCATACCATTTCTCTTTTGCATTCTGTCTGACACCTGGTATCACTTCAATCAGGAAACCTATTTGACTGAAGCTTATAAGAAAGGAGTTGAAGACTAAGCAGTAGGATAATGCTGGCTAGTTCACTGTAGCTTGCAGGGATGTTGCATTTGAACATGGAGAGTCTGTAGGTCTCTCTGCCTGCACTCACTGGGTTTTGGAAGTTTGAGCAGTCCACTACTAACAACTGGGAGAATAGCACAAATTGGCCCTGGCAAAGGCAGAATTAAAAACAGATTTATTTTTTAATATCTGCTTATAGAAAGCATTCACCATCTGTTGTTTATTGGAGAAGTAAAATTAAACAAATTATGTGAAAAAAAAGGTAAAAGAAATTAAACAAATTGTGTGATGTTAAATAAGAAAGTTAAAGATAAATCTAAAATGAAGTCACCTCTGCACTGGAGAGATCCACCCTGTCCCTCCTGTCCCCTGTTTCTTTTTATATAATTAATTATGTTGGTTCAGGTAAAAACAAACAATCACAGTATTATTTGTCCTGAAAGGACCGAGCTCCTCACCTGGTTCAATTGTGATCACCATACCCGGCTGCAGAGGGAGAGAACGGGGCATGTCTGGAGTATCATGGACATCCATCCCAAGGTAATGGCCTACATGGTGAGGGCAGTATTTTCGAGCAGACTAGAAGAGATAATAACCACAGTTTTATTAGCGCAAGGACCTCTTAAGGGGCAAGTTGGGCATGTTTAACTCAGTGAGATTTGCATTAATACTTTCCCAATGGTTCTGCTACTTATGCCTAACCTGTCCTTGGGCTATTGCTTAAGAGGCCTGATAATGGGTCTGGGGAATGTAACTAACATGTGCCTAGCTTCTGCTTATATGCAGTTCTGCCAATGACACTAAATCCACATTTCCATCTCACTAAAAATCTACTAAACACTTGCTGACTTGGGGAATCCCAGTAATGACTATGACAAATGAAAATCTCTTTCCTTGGTTAAGGGAAGATGACCATATTAGGATCCTTATCTTTTCAATACTCTTACATCTCTCTCAGGAAGCCTACTCTGGTCACCCTAAGTAGGTTACAGCAACCTGTGGAGTAGGCATAATTATTAGGAATTCACTAGCTTGGATATTTCTATCAGTTAATTAAAGAAGAGTAAGCCTAAGTAACAGAAAATTTATAGCTTCTTTTTTTTTAAATATATTTTTTAGTTGTAGTTGGACACACTATCTTTATTTTATTTATTTTTATGTGGTGCTGAGAATCGAACCCAGCCTCTCCCAGGTGCTAGGCGAGCGTTCTACTGCTGAACCACAACCCCAGCCCCAATAGTTTCTTTCTTTTTTTTTTAAAGAGAATTATTTTTTAATGTTTATTTTTTAGTTTTCGGCGGACACTACATCTCTGTCTGTATGTGGTGCTGAGGATAGAACCCGGGCCGCACGCATGCTAGGTGAGCGTGCTACCGCTTGAACCCCAACAGTTTCTTTTCTTCTCTTTTGCAGTACTGGGGATTGAACCCAGAGCCTTGAGCATACTAGGCAAGCACTCTATCACTGAACTACATCCCTCGTCCTCTTTAAAAATTTTATTTTGAGACAGGGTCTAATTAAGTTGCTGAGGCTAGCCTTGAACTTTCAATCCTCCTGCCTAAGCCTCCAGAGTGTCTGGGATTACAGGTGTGCACCAGCATACCTGGCTTTATAGCTTCTTTTCTATTTCTATTCTTTTCTATTCTCTTCTTTGCTTCTGTTCGATTAGAGCAGCCTGAACTTAGAGATGAAAGATGCTTAATGGTCTATCTGGCTTGACCACTTAGCATATTAATTTTAAAGCTGAGGTTTTACATTTTTAGACATCATTACATTTTGGGAGCAGATAAAATTTATTAAAGACAGGCTTTTGAACATAGTGTTAAAATCTCAACAATGTCACTCAAACAACAAACATTCTCTCCTCTGACCTTCAGAATCATCACGAAAGGATTGAGAGTTAACTTCTCTTCTTTTTAATGTCCTTTCCTACCTATTATGAACCAGACTTCATTTTGTTTTCTGAACATTGAGCTGGTCACGCAGTAAGTCAAGAATCAAAATGTGCTGCCATCTTCTGGAAGATGTTAAGTACTGATTCCTTTTGTTTCAACCAATGTTAAAGCCAAATCCTTTCTACAGATAAAGAATACAAAGATCTTTTCTTTCTTTTTTTTTGATGGTAATGGGGATTGAACCCAGGGCCTCTTACTGAGCCACATCCTCAGCCATTGAAAAGTTGAGACAGGGTTTCACTAAATCACCCAGGCTGGTCTTGAACTTGCAATCTGTTTGCCTCAGCCTCCTGAGTTAGTAGGATTATAAGTGTCTACTTAGCTTTATATAGGGTAAAATAGAGCAGCATGTTGGCATTCTTGAGAACTGGGGTCAAGAGAAGGGAAGTACCTTGAAAGCATTTTCTTTGCTGTTCTTCATGATCCCCAACTCTTTAAGCTTCTGTCCTATTAGCGTCAACATCATGCTGTAGATATTCTCCAAGCTTGTCCCAGGGGAGCAGAGGGACAGACAAGCCCTCTGGATCTCTAGAACAGCTTCATAGAGTTCTGCCTGAGCTGCGGTGAACCTATGAACAGGAAAGTAAAAGACCTTAAATTCAGAATAATCAGATATTGCAAGAACTTTGCTTCTGTTCGATTAGAGGAATTCTAGGCTGCTGTTGCTGAGGCATTGTTGATACTTGGTAACTACTGAAACACCATTACTAAGAGAACCCTGAACTCCTAGGTGCTCAGTAGGAGAGTGACACTCCTTCAAGCTGGGGCAGCAACACAGCCTCTCCTTCAGATGGTTACTAGGTGCTTATTAATGAGCTGAGGTAATATATGTATTCTCATATACTCTTGATGGGAGTGTAAATAGTATAGTCAATTAAATCAAAGGCCTTAAAGAGGGCTAGGGTTGTGGCTCAGCGGTAGAGCACTAGAGCACTCACTCACATGTATAAGACCCTGGGTTCGATCCTCAGCACCACATAAAAATAATAAGTGAAATAAAGGTATTGTGTCCAACTACAACTAGAAAATAAATATTAAAAAAAGGCCTTAAAAATAAATTGAACTTTTGATTCTGCTCAAAGAACCCATCCTTAGAAAGTAATTGAAATTCAAAAAAGTTGAATGTACAAATATATTTGTTTTTGTAATATTTGTAGGGTATAACTGCATAATTTGATGAACTCTAATATAATGATTAAATATAACAATATAGTAATATAAATGAACACCTATGTATCCCCTAGGCTCAACCATTATCAATATTTTTATAATTATGTCATCTATAAATGCACTCAGACCTCATCCCACAAAGTACTATTTTATCTATTTTATATTTACTGGGGATTGAACCCAAGGGTACTTTATCACTGAGCTACATCCCCAGTTCTTTTTATTTTGAGATGAGTCTTGCTAAGTTGCCCAGGGTGGCTTCAAACTCATGATTCTCTTGCTTTAATCTCTGAGGTTGCTGAGATTATAGGAGTGTGCCACTAAATAATTTTTTGAACCGTCCTTTTTTTGGAGACAGGATCTTATTTGCTATATTGCTAAGGGTGGCCTTGAACTCCTGGACTCAAGTGATTCTCCTACCTTAGATTCTGAAATAGCTGGGATTACTGGAATACAGAGTAGCTCCTGGTTAAAATTTACATACCCTGAAATGTACAATCTGAGATGATGATTTTGACAAATGAATATATCAATATTCATGAACGTAGGGACAATGAACTCCCAAATTCTGCTGAGTCTTCCTTCTACCTCTGTCTAAGAACCCACAGGTACCTCCACTGAGTAATTGTCTTGGTTGCTTCTATACCTAAACCAGACTTGAGTCCCAACACTCTCTGAAAGGTTAGGTACAAAGCGTGATCCACTGGAGCTGGGGCTATTGTGTGTGAGGCACTGAGTTCAATCCTTAGCACTACATAAAAATAAAAATAAACAAATAAAATAAAGGAATTCTGTCCATCTATAACTACCAAAAAAAAAAAAAAAAGCAAAGTGTGATCGATGAGGAGATATATAATACTCTAAAAAGAACTGCATGGAGTTTTCCAATATATACAGACAAAAATCTGGGACTATGTATGGGATGGATATTTACAGTGTGGGATAATGGCAGAAGGAACACAGAATTGGATCAGGCTGAGTTTATTGTTATAATTTCACTAAGCAAGAGATTCTGGATTCAGTGTTGAGGTTTAAGGGGGCAGAAAAGCTCTAACAGTTTGGATGGTTGGATGGAAAAAAACATGGACCAAAAGGTAGCCTACAATAAACAAACTCAAATGCCAGACCTAGAGAAGGAATTCTGTCTCAAAACTGTATTGTAGGGCTGGGGATGTGGCTCAAGCGGTAGCGTGCTCGCCTGGCATGCGTTCCGCCCGGGTTCGATCCTCAGCACCACATACAAACAAAGATGTTGTGTCCGCCGAAAACTAAAATAAATAAATATTAAAAAAAAAAAAAAAACTGTATTGTAAATCCTGCCTGAATTTCTAGTCTGTCTGTCCTATAGGTTTTGGACTCAAGGCCGCATCATCAACTCCTCCTTGAGTTTCTGGCCTGCTACCTGCTCTACAAAATTCAGACATGCCAGACCCTCAACTGCATGAGTCAATTTTTTAAAGTCTACCTACCTTTATATACATAAACACACATCTATGCACAGTCATGAATGCCATTTGGTCAATGATCAACTGTATATGTAAGAGTGGTCTCATAAGATGATAACAGAGCTGAAAATTCCCACTGCCTAGGTGCCATCACAGCCATCAAAATGTCAGTGGAATACATCTTATGTGTAGTGATGATAGAATAAACAAACCTACTGTGCTGCCAATTGTCTAAAAATATAGCACACACAATTATGTTCAGTATGTAATACTGATTAATGCTAATAAATGACTGTTACTGGTTTATGTATTTAACATATCATACATTTATTTATCATTATTTCATTTAAATGTTTAAATTTTATTTCTTTTTGGACTAGATATTGCTAATATTGACTAAAATAGTCTTGAACTGTTGGACTCAGGTGATCCTTATGCCTCAGCCCCAGCCTCCTGGTGAACATTCCTAAAACCTGTCAGACTTTCTATGACAAGTGTGGTAAACAGTAACTTCATAAAGTGACACAGTACAAGAGGGGCAAGGATTCTCTATATGCATAGGGAAAGTGGCATTGTGACAGGAAACAGAGTGGCTGTGGCGGGGCAGACTAAGGTGATTTTTTAGGAAAAAGCCTAAAACTACAAAGATTGTGCTGAGGCTTGAGTGTGTTGAGCCTAAAAGCAGATCTAAGAGAATGCTGGTTTTTAAGAGATGCAAGCATTTTGAACTGGGAGGAGATTAAAAGAGCAAGGACCAAGTGATCCAGTTCTAAGCTTCATTGTTTTATTATGAAGATAATAAAATGCTAAGGTTAAATTCATTAAAAAAAAAAAAAGTTGACTGTAAGCCAGGCATTGTGGTGCACACCTGTAATCTCAGCTACTCAGAAGGTTGAGGCAGAGGATTGCAAGTTTGAGGCCAACCTGGGCAATTTAGTGAGACCCTGTCTCAAAATAAAATAAAAAAGCCTGGGGATGTAGCTCAGTGGTACAGCGACCCTGGGCTAAATCCCCAGTACTGCACACACACACAAAAAAAGCTGAATGTAAACAGTCTGCTATGTTACAATGGCAGCAGCTCTACAAGTGACCCATGTGACTGCATCTCTCAATTACATCAAAAGACCATATTGGCTGGGTGCAGTGGTGCACGCCTGTAATCCTAGTGACTCAGGAGGCTGAGGCAGGAGGATTGCAAGTTCAAACCCAGACTCAGCAACTTAGCTAGGCCCTAAGCAACTCAGTGAGACTCTCTCTCTAATAAAATATAAAAAAGGGGGGCTGGGGATGTGGCTCAAGTGGTAGCGTGCTTGCCTGGCATGCGTGTGGCCCTGGGTTCAATCTCCAGCACCACATACAAAGATGTTGTGTCCGCCAAAAACTAAAAAATAAATATTAAAATTCTCTCTCTCTCTCTTAAAAAAAAAAAAAAAAATATATATATATATATATATATATATATATATATATATATATATATATATATATAAAAATAAAAGGGGCTGGGGATGTGACTCCGTGTTTAAGGGCCCCTGCATTCAATCCCTGGTACCAAAACAGCAACAACAACAACAACAAAACCCACATTGAGCTGGGAAAATGGAATATAGCCATACTTACAAGAATAAAACTAGATCCCTATTTGCTACTCAGCACAAAAGTCAATTCAAGAGGATCAAAGGCTTAGGCTTAGGAATTAGATGAGAAACTTTGTAACTGCTAGAAAACACAGGGTCAAACACTGGAACATATAGACACAGGCACTGACTTTCTTAACAAGACCCCTAAAGATTAAGAAATAAAACCAAGAATCAGTAAGTAGGATGGCATTATATCAAAAAGCTTCTGCAAAGGAAACGAGAATGAAGATAGAACCTGAAGAATGGGAGAAAATCTTTACCAATTATTTCTTGGACAGGTATTAATATCCAGAATATATAAAGAACTCAAAAAACTTAATGCCAAATAAAATAAAATCAATAAATGGGCAAAAGAACTAAATGAGTATTTCTTTCTTTATATATTTTATTAGTTGCTCATGACAATACAATGATCTTGACATATCATACATTTGATTCAAATGGGGCATGAATTCTCATTTTTCCACATGTACAGATTGCAGGATCACATTGGTTATACAGCCACGTATATACATACAGCAATACTAGTGTCTACTGTATTCTGCTGCTCTTCCTAATCCCCCTCCCCTTCCCTCCCCTCCCCTCCTATCCCATCATATATTTATATTTTAGTTGTAGTTGGACACAACATCTTTATTTGTTTGTTTGTTTGTTTATTTATTTATTTATTTTTATGTCGTGCTGAGGATTGAACCCAGGGCCTTGCATGTGCTAGACAAGCACTCCACCACTGAGCCACAACCCCTGCCCCTAAATGGGTATTTCTTTTTCTTTCTTTCTTTTTTTTTTTTTTTTTAAACATTTATATTTTAGGTGTAGATGGACACAATGCCTTTATTTTTATGTGGTGCTGAGGATTGAACCCGGGTCCTGCCCGTGCTAGGTGAGCGCTCTACCACTGAGCCACAATCCCAGCCCCATGGGTATTTCTTAAAAGAAGAAATACAAGTGGCCAACAAATATATGAAAGAATTTTCAACATCCTTAGCAATCAGGGTCATGCAACTCAGGAGGCTGAGGCAGAAGAATGGCAAGTTCCAGGCCACCCTCCTACACAACTTAGGGAGAACAGGTCTCAAGGTAAAAAAATGAAAAGGGCTGGGGATGTGGCTCAGTGGTTAAGCACACTGTTGGTGGGTCTATAAATGAGAACAGCCATTTAGATAGCAGTATGAAGAGTCCTCAAAAGACTAGGAATAGAACCACCATAAAACCCAGCTTTCCCACTCCTTGGTATTAATCTAAAATGAAAATCAGCATATTATAGTGATGTAGGCACATCAATGTTTATAGCAGCTCAATTCACAATAGGCAAGTTATAGAACCTACCCATGTGCCCATCAACAGATGAACAGATAAATAAAATGTGGTATATATGCACAATGGAGTTTTACTCAGCCATAAAGAATGAAATTATGGCATTTGCTGTTAAATGGAAAATATCATGCTAAGTGAAATAAGCCAGACTCAGAAAGTCAAAAGTCAAATATTTTCTCTCATATTTGGAAGCTAGAGTGAAATAAGGAGAGAAAACAACAACAACAACAACAACAAAAAACAAGTAGAGAGAACATCATGAAAATAGAAGGGAAATTAGTGGGGTAGAGGAAGAGGTTTGAGGGAGAGAGAGGAGGAACAGGAAAAAGAAGGACCTACAGAAAGGCACTGATCAAATTATGTGCATATATGAGTATACCACAGTGAATTCCACCTTTATGTATATCTATAAAACACCAATAAAAAATAACAGTAACTAGAAGGAAGACCACTGTAGAAGAAGAAGGGGAATAGGGGCAGGGAGGAGGTGAGGTAAAGTGGAAATATAGGGATTAAAATGGAGCAAATTATATTACATGCATGCATGAATATGTCAAAATGAACACTACTATGTGTAACTATAATGCACTAGTAAAAACATTAAAAAAAGGCTACAATGAATGATTGACCTATACCATCTAAATGTGTGAGTATACCCCATTATGTTCACACAATGATGAAATCACTTAAGGAAGCATTTCTCAGAATATATCCTCACTGTTAAGTGACATGTAAGTATTTGTACATACATACACACATACCCACTGGGTCTGTTCCTCTGGAGAATCCTGACCCACAGATCCGTAAACCTACATTATACAAAACATTTTAACCTTCCCAGAAAACTTTCTTGCTTCTTTCTCCTCCCCTCCCCTCTCTCTCCTTTTCTTTCCTTTTCATCGTATTGGGGATTGAATATAAGGGTGCTATACCACTGAGCCGTATCCCCAGTTCTTTTTGAAAATTTGAGACAGGGTCAGTGCTGGACTTGGATTTTCAGTCCTCCTACTCAGCCTCCTGTGTAGCTGACAGGTGTATTCCCTGTTTCTATTTCTAATTAATACCCCTTCTTCCAGAGGCAAAGACTGTCTTGATAATTTCATTCATTCTGACCATTCTGTGTATCATATGATATGTACTCTTCTGTGTGCAACTTTATTCTTCGAGCACAATGGCTATGTAATTTATCTAATCAGTAGAATATTTTTATGGTTGATCAGTATTTCATTATTTGAAACTGCATATTGTATACCATAAGTTGCATATTCATTCTTCTGTTGATAGATATTTGTTTCCAGGTTTTGGCTATTGTGAATAAAGATGTTATAAACATTCTTATATGTGTCTTTGTGGACATGTTTTTGTTTCTCTGAGGTAAATACCTAGAAGTGGAATTACTAGGCCAAAGGGTCAGCATTTATTTAACTTCATAAGAAACTGCCAAGTTTTTCCCCCAAAGTGGTTGTAAACATTATACACTACCACTACCAAAAGCAAGGTATCACAGTTTCAGTTGTATTGCTTTGTTGCCAGTTGTTGGTATGGTTAGTCTTTAATTTTAGCCATTTTAGTAGTAATGTTATCTTATTGTACACTTTAATGTGCATTTCTCCAATGACCAACACTGATGAATACTTTAAAGTATGTACAGGTCATCTGTATATATTCCTTTGTCAAGTGTCTGTTTTAAACAATCTTCACTGAATGAAAATTATATCCTATTTTTTTTTCCTTTTTATTTTTTGGTACCAGGGATTGAACTCAGGGGCACTCAACCACTGAGCCACATCCCCAGCCCTATTTTGTATTACATTTAGAGATAGGTTCTCACTGAGTTGCTTAGCACCTTGCTTTTGCTGAGGCTGGCTTTGAACTCATGATCTTCCTGCTTCAGCCTCCTGAGCTCCTGGGATTTCAGGCACGTGTCATTGTGCCTGGCATATCCTACTCTTTTGCTTGCCAATTATCTTTTTTTTTTTTAATCAGACTTTTTATACCTTTATTTTATTTATTTATTTATATGTGATGCTGAGGATCAAACCCAGTGCCTCACACGTGCCAGGCAAGTGCTCTACCACTGAGCCACAGCCCCAGGCCCTTGCCAATTTATCTTTTTTTTGGTACTAGGGATTGAATCCAGGGAAGCGTTACACTGAGCCACATCCCCAGCCTTTTAAAAAATGTTTTCTTATTTTCAGACAGGGTCATGCTAAGTTCTTAGGGACTCACTAAGTTGCTCAGGTTGGTCTTGAATTTGCGATCCTCCTGCCTCAGCCTCCCAAGCCGCTGGGATTATGGGTGTATGAGAAGCACTTGGACTCACACATCTTTTTTTTATTAATAATTTTTTAGTTGTATTTGGACACAATACCTTTATTTTTATTTATTTATTTTTATGTGGTGCTGAGGATCAAACCCAGCGCCTTGAATGTGCTAGGTGAGCTCTCTACAGCTGAGCTACAACCTCAGCACCCCCCACATCTTTATATGTAGTATTTTTATTAGTATTCTATGTGAAATACATTGTAATTTTTTTTTTTTTTTGCTGCTTCTTTAACCTATAGGTTATTTAGAATGCATTCACTTATTTTCATCTATTTGGAGATTTAAAAATATTAGTGGCAGTTTGGGATGCTGAGGTGGGAGGATCTCAAGTTCAAAGTCAACGTCCGCAACTTAGCAAGTCCCTAAGCAACTTAGTGAGACCCCTGTTGTCAAAATAAAAAATAAAAAAGGGTGAGAATGTAGCTCAGTGGTAAAGCACACCTGGGTTAAAAAAAAATATGAGTGTGTGTGTGTATGGGTGTGTATCTTATTGTAACAATATTTTTGTTGATTTTTTAATCTAATTATATAAATCTTCACCTTTTTGAAACCGAGACTGGTTTTACAGCTCAACAAATGGTCTTAGTGAATGCTCTTTTATGCCTATTTGAAAAGAATGTGTCATCTGCAGTTGTTAGACACATTATTTTACAAAACAAATCTTCATCTTTTGGTAACTTGTTTTATAAATTAATCAGAAAGATTTGTCAATACTTCCAACTATAATTGTGGGATTGTGTATTCTCCTTTTAGTCCTGTTAGTTTGCTTCATTTATTTATTTATTTTTGGGGGTACTGGGGATTGAACTCAGGGTCACTCAACTACTGAGCCACATTCCCAAGCCTATTTTGCATTTTATTTAGAGACAGGGTCTCACCGAGTTGCTTAGTGTCTCACCATTGCTGAGGCTGATCTGAACTCACGATCTTGCTATCTCAGCCTCCTGAGTAGATGGGATTACAGGCGTTCATCCAGCTTGCTTCATGTAGTTTGAAGCTCTGTTTTAGCTACTTATACCTTCATAATAGTTATATCTCTCTGACATACTGACACTTTCATCATCATCAAAATGACCCTCTTTGTCTCTACTAATATTCCTTTGTCCTGAAATCTATTTTGTCTGTATTAATTTAACCATTCTAGTTTTTTTTTTTTTGGTACTGCAGATTGAACCCAGAAGACTGAACTACATACCCAGCCCTTGTGATCCTCCTGCTTCAGCCTCCTGAGTCTCTGGGATTACAGCTGTGCACCACTGCACTAAGCATTAGCATTCCGGTTATCTTAGGATTGATATTTGCATAGTATGTCTGTCTTGGATATTTTATTTTCAAAATTCGTGTCTTCCATGTTTGACAGTGCTTTTCTGTTAAACAGCATTGAGCCTGGCTATCATTACTACAGTTGGATTTATTTCTGTTATTTTGCTGTTTTTTTTTTTCCACTCATCTTTTTGTTTGCCTGCTTTTGTTTTTTCCTTCCCTGTCTTCTTTTGGGTCAATAAAATTTTTTTTAGAATGGGTTTTAATATTCTATCTTAATTCCCCCATTGGCTTTTTAGCTGTACCTATTTATAGTATTTTTTTGTGGTTGCTTTAGGGGTTATGTTCTCCTCAAGAGTGATTATTATTATTATTATTATTTTAGCTTGGATGGATTCAAATGATAAACTCTGCTTTCAGTGGGAAGCAACTAAAATTTCTGCTCAGTTTATTCAGCTTCTAGCTGCTGGTATTTTGCTCAATGTCCTGAGGCCTTCCCCCAACTCAGCCAAGGATTTCTGAATATTTTGTATGTAGATTTTTGGGCTCACACTCTGTTGTTCCTTCTTTTAAAGAACTTCCTCCCATGTTTCTAAATATTCTGCCAGAATCTAAATCAATCATCTTAACCAATAAGGTTGTGGCTTTATGTTGCTAAAGCAATGTGGGTTGGGGAATCCTCAAGTAAAAAGCTTTAACCACTAAATTTATTAATTTATAATTTTCTTTCAAAGACATACTTGTATAGTTCCTGTTTGTGGAAGCTCTCTGGTGGTTTTAAGTAGCTGTCTTATTATTTTGTTCAGATTTCATTACTACTACTTTTGGTAGGTTAATACAACTAATCTATTCTACCATATCCTAAATACTACATTTGCAATCAGGGAAAAAAAACCAACAAACTAATTTTAAAAAACGCGCGCGCACGCATGTGTTTGTGTGTGTGTTAGCTAACACAGTATTTCTAGGCTTCTGAATCTGCTATATGATGAACAACAACAATAACAAAAAGTCTTAGAATACATAATGATTCTTCAAAGGCAGGTAACCTGACCTACAAAAGCCCTGCTTATTTCTTTAGTCATTTATTCCAAGTACATCTATAAACCAACTCATGCTAAGAAGCAGCAGGATATGTTACTTTGTAAAATCCCTACCTGCCATTGACAGGCCAGGTACGGGTGATGTCACTCACATAGCAGGAAAATTCACAACCTCCATCCAGAAGCACCATTTCCCCATCCTAGAATGCAGGAAGAAAAGTCAAAGAAGGTGATCTCACAATTGTAAGCTCTTTCAACTAATCTAAAATATTCATTTTATTTTAAAAAGCATTGATTAGCCAGGTGTGGTGGCACATGCCTATGATCCCAACAGCTCAGGAGGCTGAGGCCCTGTCTCAAAATAAAAAGGGCTGCAGATTAGATAGAGGGGAGTGAAGGGAGGGGAGGGGGTATGGGGATATAGGAAGGAGAGTAGACTCAAACAGACATCATTACCTTATGTACATATATGATTGCATGACTAATGTGATTCTACATCATGTACAATTAGAAAAATGAGAAATCATACTCTATTTATGTATGATATATCAAAGTGCATAAATGTATTCTATTGTCATATATAACTAATTAAAACAAATGAAAAAAAATTAAAAATATAAAAAAAGAGGGCCAGGGATGTTGTGGTTCAGTGTTTAAGCACCCCTGAGTTTAATCATCAGTAACAACAACAAAAAGCACTGATTGATTGTACTGGGGACTGAACCCAAGGCCTTGAATATGCTTGGCAAGCTCTCTACTGCTGAACTACATCCACAGCCCTTTTTAATTTTGAGATAGTCTCACTAAGTTGACCAGTCTGGCCTTGAACTTGCTATCTGCCTGCCTTCAATTTCCCAAGTTGCTGGAATTATAGGCATGGACAATGCCTGACGTAGCCAAAATTTATATTTATATATATATATATATATATATATATATATATATATATATATATATATATATATATAAAATTTGCACAGATCTTAAGCAAATGGAGTTAAAAGAGTTTTGTTGAATGCATAACAGATGTAAGCACACCCTTGTGCTCTTTCCCAGTCACCCCTATCAGAAATAACAACTTACCTGGTTTTTATCACCATAAATTAATTATGCCTATTTCAGAACTTCTTATAAATGGAATCACAGACCTTATAATTTTTTTCTACCACTAAGCTACATCCCCAGCATTTTTTATTTAAAAACAGAGTCTCACTAACTTTGTCCAGGCTGGCCTCAAACTTAAAATTCTCCTACCTTAGCCTTCCACAGTAGCTGGCATTATAGTAATGTTCCAACACACCTTGCCAAGCAGTGGACTTAATAAAAGAATACATGATTCTTAACTTGTATGGTTATATGGGAAGAAAATCATAAAAGATGTGTTTCCTCAGAGCCAATAAGGTTTTCTTAAAATTCTTCTGACTTTAAAATATGCTTGGTCCACTGCTGTCACCACATCATAAGGAGTGTAAAAAAATGAAATGAGCAGATGCTTTAGAATATAATACTTGGTTCTCTACTAATGGGTTGCTAAGTTTTAAAAAAATATTTATTTTTTAGTTGTAGTTGGATATAATACCTTTGTTTTTATTTATTTATTTTTATGTGGTGCTGAGGATCGAACCCAGGGCCATGCACATGCTAGGAGAGCGCTCTACCGCTGAGTCCCAGCCCCAGCCCCAGCCCCAGCCCCGAGTTGCTAAGTTTTTAAAAGTCTATTTTCCTTATCTATCATGCAGGCATGTTAATAGTTGCTCCCATCTAACAAGGATAATTCAAGGACAAATGAGATAATATCTGTAAAAATCATTTTTTAAACAATAAAAAGCCTTTTAAAAGGCAGTTGGTGGAAGTGGAAGGTTACTGCATTTTCTACTAGGCCATCTGGACCTTATGGGAGAAGCACTGGGGGCATTTTATGTACCTTGATGAGTTGATTATTCTTCACATAGTGCAAAGTGTTTGACCGATTACCACCAGCAACCACAGGTGGGTAGGCTAAGATGTCTGCACCACGAGCCCGGCATTCAAATTCAAACTGGAAAACAACACGGTAAGAATTGTGGATGATCTCTGTAGGTCTGCCCCAGCCCAAGGCTGTCTTTAGCAGCCTCTGCCTCCATGCCTGCGCTTACTATATGAGGGTGATTACTGGGAATCTAACCAAACTTTTCATGCTTTTAGTCTTTGATTCTCACCCCATGTACTGTAATCTATTCTATACGTACCCTTTTATTCTCACCAATCCTGTTATTCAAACTTATTATTGAGTCTATTCTTTTCTTCTGAGTGTTTTCTAAATTTCTCATGATTTTCAAATTAAGTCCAGAAGAGGACAGAGAAGACCTATGAAGAATAGTGAGCCAGAGACCCATTGTATAAGGTTACTATTTGTTTATTCTTATTTAGCTAAACAACAAAATATGGCTTATATTTTTAACAATAGCTCTAAAACTACTAATTTCAACCTTTCCAATAGCTACCACTCTAAATGTTTTTGGTAAGTGAAAAAGGATCTGGGTGACTGGTAAATTCTGTCAATTTCACTATGCTCTGGGTGGAGATGTAGACTTGAGGTATCTATCTGCTACCACCCACATGCTACCTCAGATCCTTCTTCCTTCATGTTTACCAAAACAGTATTATTTTTCTCATCTTACACTGTTTTCCTTCATCTGTTCTGCTTTGCATTTTTCTTCTTTAATTGTAGCACTGCATTCATCTAATAAATTACCAACAACATTTAGAACCAAATCCTCCCCAAGGACAGGCTATTACTCCCTGAAAAGCCTATTGAATGTCACCTGTAAATCAATGACTCTCATCTCCAAGAGGACCTTCCCACCATCTGAGGCTCACCTTGGCATAAAGAAAGGCCTCTTCCACAGGGGCTTTACTGGCAAACATGGTTTCTATGAAAGCCTGCAAAGAGAAAGGATGATGAAAGGAACACAGCCTTATTTCAACTATGCTGTTTCCTCATACATTCAAAATACTGGATTTCAAACAAAAGACATCTTTCCCCTTTGTTTTGTCAACCTGAGGTTGTGACTAAGTGGGCAGAATACAGATTTCTTAAAGAGAAAAATTACTGCTTTCAGAAATATTTGACTGATGACCATGGGGCACCCAACCTTCCCATTAGAATGCACACCACATGCTACAGTAAGCAACACAAAGACTGCTCAGGTTGAATGTGTCCTCTAAAACTCACAGTGAAAGTTAATCCCCAGTATGGTGATATGAAGATGTTAGGGCTGGGCTGGGCTCAGTGGTAGAGTTTCCCTAGCATGTGTGAGGCCTTGGGTACACCCCAGCATTTGGGGAAAAAAAAGAAAAAGAAAAAGATGGGCTGGGGTTGTAGCTCAACGGTACAGCATTTGCCTAGCATGTGTGAGGCACTGGGTTTCGTCCTCAGCACCACATAAAAATTAATGAATAAATACAAAGGTATTGTGTCCATCTACAATTTAAGAAAGAAAGAAAGATGGGATTAGCAGATTTATAAAAGGGTTTGAGAAAGGAAGTTAGGCCTCTTTTGCTTTCCTGCATTCCTCCTTTCTTGCCCTTTCTGTCCCTTCTACCATGTGAAGACACCTAGAGGGCACCATCTATGAAGAATGGGCCCAGAAAGTAGACTTGTTGTCACCTTGATCTTACACTTCCTAGCCTCCAGAACCATAAGGAAATAAACAGATATTTATCTGTTGCTTATAAATTAGCCAATCTCAGGCACCTTGTTATAGCAGCACAATGACTAAGACTGAAAACGTCTGTAATTTTTGTAACAAGAAGTTATAGCTCCAGTGTATGAAATTATAGATTGAATGGTCTAGTCTACAGCAAGGTTTCCCAACCTTAGGATTATTGACATTTGGAGCCAGATAATTCTTTGTGGTAGGCTGTCCTGTTCGATGTTGGATGGCAGCAGCATCCTACAATTATGATCAACAACACTGCCAAAATACACCCCCTCCCAAGAACCACTGGCCTGTAGTATAACTACATTTGTTAATTCTTTGGGATAGCCACACTTTATTGTGTGTTTTATTTTTTTTTTAAAGGATTCAAGGATCTCATTTTTTTTTTTTTGAGAGAGAGAGAGAGAGAGAGAGAGAGAATTTTTTAATATTTATTTTTTAGTTTTTGGCGGACACAACATCTTTGTTTATATGTGGTGTGGAGGATTGAACCCGGGCCGCACGCATGCCAGGCGAGCGCGCTACCGCTTGAACCACATCCCCAGCCCCTATTGTGTGTTTTCTATTTCAAGGATATACATTTATAATTCACCACTGTTCTTTTTTTTTTTCCCCAAAAAAGATATTCTTTTCTTTTTGCTGTGCTAGGACCAAATCCAGGGCCTCGCAAATGCTAGGCAAATGCTCTACCACTGAGGCACATCCTCTCACCACAAAAAAGATCTTGTTAAGATCTTCATGACCACTACTGTCATTATGGGTGGGCCGCAGATTTCTCTCAGTTTTCTAGTAGCCAATGTAAAAACGAAAACTGTGTCAGCTCTACAAGTTCCACTGTCTGCTGAATAAGAGCCAGTCAGTTTCCTAGGGATATGATCATATGATGTTATAAGAAGAAAGAAATTCCCTTAAGCTGTTAATACCCTGACCCGAGAATAAACACAATATTCACAGCAATGTTTTAAATAACATAACAAAAAGCAAGTGGAGGGAATATCTGAACAGCTGGCTCCCTCTCTGCTTTCTGATCTTTTCTCAATCATGTTTTCTCTGCAGAGAAGCCTTGACTGACTATCTTGTCTAAACTAGCTCCTTCCATCGCACTTTATCCTGTACCCTTGCTTCCTTTTTCTTCACAGCATCTAATTCCAGATGACTATATATCAAGTTTGTTTACTGTCTCTCCTCAACTGAATGTAGACTAATAGAGAACAGTGACATATGGACAGGCTATTTTGCTCACCATTTTATTCTCAGAACCTAGAGTGGTGCCTAGCACAAAGTAGTTACTCAATAAATATCTGAGGAATAAATGAGTAATTACAACTAGTAAAAGGATACACATGCATACTTATATACAAATGTTGAGAGATACACTGGTTAGCATTTTATTTTTAGCATAAGGACAAAAAAAGAAAAAAGTGATAAGTTCTAATGAGTTTATTTACTTGAAAGAGGGATTTTTCTTTTCACTGATTTAATTTTGAACTCTTATTTTAGTTTCATTTTATTTATTTAAATTCAGTGCTGAGAGTCGAACCCAACGCTTCACACATGTCAGGCAAGTGCATTACTGCTGAGCCCCAGCCCCAGCCCCTAATTTTAAACTGTTATTGAATGGCACTGGGAATTTTTGAGATCATGGCTCTTTTACATTGCTGTTCAGACTAACCAAGATGGAAAAGCTCCTCTTCCTTCCTAGGTGGATGCCTGACCTCTTCTGTCATAAATGTGCCTACTAGGAGTCAATATCTTCTTCCTGTCATTAATGTACCTACTAGGAGTCAATATCTTCTCAGATGATTCCAGATATATATAAGGCACATGGTTCAAATGCCACCTGTCCTTATTATGTGCTTGATATCCTTCCTGTAAAGATTAAGGGACAGACTTAATGATGAGTACTTCTTAGGGTTTTCTTGTCCTAATATAGCCTATACTCCCAAATGACACTTGGCCCTCTTACTCTACTAAGTGCTACTTAAATATTTGTATTTTGCTTCTTGAAAAATGTAAAATGCTGTTTTTGCCTTTTTCTCTGAACATGTCATAAACAGGACACATCATGAAAGAACATTGTACAGCTTATGGAGAAGGGAGAGTGGAAAGGAAAAGCATTTCAGTTAAAATTTCATAAATGTGGGCTGGGGTTGTGGCTCAGAGGTAGAGCGCTTGCCTACCATGCATGAGGCACTGGGTTCGATCCTCAGCACCACATAAAAAGAAAATAAAGATACTGTGTCCACCTATAACTAAAAAATAAATACTTAAAAAACTTCATAAATGTTTTTAATGTAGGTGTGTTGTGATATGAGAGAAGGAAGGCTGTGACATTCAAAAAGGAGGGGAGGGCTGGGGTGTATCTCATTGGTAGAGCACTTGTCTAGCATGCGTGAGGCCCTGGGTTTGATAACCAGAACCACATCAAGGAAAAAAAAAAAAAAAAGGAAGGAAGGGAACTGCAGGTAGGTAGAGAGATGGCAGAAGACTATGGCACATCCCAGAGTTCACTGTGGCTAGAATGTTAAGCACACATGGAAGAATAAGACAAGATAAAGCTCAAAATGTAGACAGCAGGGACCAGATCATGAAAAGTCTTGCATGGGCATTTTGAACTTTAAACCCAGAAACAACAGGAAGCCAACTACCAAAGAACTTGAAGTAGGAGAGGGACAGAGTTGAAAAGATCACTTTGGCTAGGGTAGAGTTAGAATGAGTTATTCTACTGTGCTAGGCACTTTTCATTATTTCATTCTACTTTTCCACAACTCTAGAGACAGGCAATATCATCCTTATTATGGCCCCAGAAATTCGGGCTCAGTGAGGTTTAGTAACTTGGCCCAAATGACACAGGTTGGCATGTAAGCCCAGATCTGTCAAGTGTTTTCCACTATAACATTCTGTCTCCCTAGGAGTGGATTTGGCAACTAATTAGATGCAAGGGTTTGGGGAAAAAATTGTCTAGAATAACTTCCATATTTCTATCTAAAGTAACTGGGTAGATGTTAATATTATCAATAATAAAAAGAATAAAGGCTAGGTATTTATATACAGTGCTGAGAGTCAAGCCCAGCGCCTTATACATGCCAGGCAAGTGCACTACCGCTGAGCCCCAGCCCCAGCCCCTAATTTTGAACTGTTTCTGAATAGCACATCTGTAATTCCAACGGCATGAGAGGCTGAGGCAAGAGGATCATGAGTTCAAAGCCAGACTCAGTAACTTAGTGAGGCCCTAAGCATTTAGTGAGACCCTGTATCAAAATAAAATATAAAAGGGCTGGGGATGTGGCTTAGTGGTAGAGCACTACTGGGTTCAATCTGCAGTACCCCCAAATAAAGCATAATTATTCTTGTTTGGGGGTGGGGTATGCTGAGGATTGAACCCCAGCCCTTGTCCATGCTAGGCAAGCATTCTAACACCAAGTTATATCCCCTCCCCTTAAAAAAATTTTATTTTGAGACAGGGTCTTGCTAAAGTGTCTAGGCTAGCTGGTCTTGAAGTAGTAATCCTCCTACCTCAGCCTTCTTGAGTTGCTGGATTATATGTATATATCACTTCATCCAGGGCAGTATAATTATTTAAAAAAATATTTTTAGATGTTGATGGACCTTTCTTTTATTCATTTATTTATATGTGGTGCTGAGGATTGAACCCAGTGCCTCACATATGCTAGGCAAGTGCTCTACCACTGAGCCACAACCCCAGCCACTAGTATAATTATTCTTATGGAAATTATTTTGCCTAGATACCCCCCACCCACCAAAAAAATCTTTTTTAAAGAAATGCCCAGGCTCAAACTTTTGAGACTCTTGCTTCAGCCTCCCATGTCATTGGGATTATAGGCATGTGCCACCACAGGCTAGAAATAAAAAAATCTTATAGAGGGCTGGGGATATAGATCAATAGTAGAGTGCTTACTTTTGCACATGAGAAGCACTTTAACATTTTAATAGAATTGAGAATGTTTAAGGAACATGTTGACTTGTAGCTGGAAGTTATTCATTAAGAAAAATAAGGTCAAATTCCATCTCCCTGGCTGATGTCACTGCTGGTCTGATAAAGGGAATGCCACAAATTACATTATTTTACAACACTTAAAACAGACTTTAATAACAGCATGGCCAGAGGCTGGGGTTGTGGCTCAGTGGTAGAGTGCTTGCCTAGCATGCACAAGGCACTGAGTTTGATCCTCAGCACCACATAAATGTAAAATAAAGATA